GAGAGAGAGAGAGAGAGAGAATTTGGTTCACTGAAGCTGAAATTTGTAGTATAGCATGGAGGCAACTGGTGAACCAGCCTCACTTCCTGATATAACCAGAACAAGTAAGGTTCAGAGGTTTGATTTATATCCATAAGAAGTCTGAACAGAAATAAATCAATCAATAAACAATACACATAATAATTGAACTTACTCTTCTCCTTTTATCAAAGGTTTCATAATAAAGGCTGACAAATCCCTCAGCTGCTTTGTTAGCCAGATCCGCATCAGTTTTGAAATCCTAGAAATGAAAACCAACATAGTCAGTTATCTTCTCCTGTGAAAATATAGTGTGGTCTGCGGATACTACTCCACAACAAGAGAGAGAAAGACACATCAATCTAAAGACCAATTACAGTCAGAAACACACCACAAAGTCTGCGTTCCAGAGCATTCAGCCTCTTGAATCCACTGGAAGGCAAGCCGGCCGCCTCACTGCGTTCAGGGAGGCGGTGGTGCATTGAAATCAATGGCACCGCAGCCACACCCCCCACCTGCAGTGCAATCCCCGCGCCAGAACACATGGCACATTAGTGCCTGCGTTCCGGTCCAGTGCGATCTGCAAAAATGCTGAAACTTTGTGGTGTTAACTGGCCCAAAGGGCAGGTTCACACCATTTTCCAGACCAGATCTAGAACGCAGTCCGTTTTGCTGCGATTTTGGGAGGGTTTTTAAAAAAAGCTTAAAATGGTCTTACATGTGCGTTCCATTGCATTTGTATGTGTTTTTCATGCGTTTGTATGCATTCCAGTGAATCTGTGTGTTGTTCATGCATTTGTATGTGTTTTTCATGCATTTGTATGCGTTCCATTGCATTTGTATGTGTTTTTCATGCATTTGTATGCGTTCCATTGCATTTGTATGTGTTTTTCATGCATTTGTATGCATTTCTGTGTTTTTCATGCATTTGTATGCGTTCCAGTGCATTTGTATGTGTTTCCCATGCGTTCCAGTGCATTTGTGTGTGTTTTTCATGCGTTCCAGTGCATTTCAGACCAGACAAAATAAGACTAGCAGTATTTTTCTGTTCTGGTAGGACCGTGCTGGTGTGCACAGAGGCCAAAACAGCATAAGGATGCATTTTGGGTCCGGAAATGATCCAGACACGGTGTGTGAATGGGCCCTTATGTGTTTGCTTAGCCCTGTGCAGGTTTGGGGGACTGAAATAGGAGACACAGGGGGAGCCTACATTACATGATGAAGAGACAGTACAGTGTACAGGCAACTCAGCACATGGTTTTATTTCATGGGAAGAAACAGTGATCATCCAATAAAAATACAACATGGCACCTACCTCCCAAGCTGAAAGGAAAGCACAACAATCCTTGTCTTGCTTGTGTAAACTACTAGTCACATGAATCTTCCATTTAATGGAGGTGAACAAAGGAAGACATGTTTGAGATCCAGCCTGGGTGACAACCATGGCTGCCTATAGTTACAGTGGAGAAATTATTGTTGTCAACCAGGAATTCCAGGTGAAAATAAAGGGGAAAAGGCTGAAAGTGAGAAGGGATGTCACCACCACGTCTATATCCCGGTATGATGCAATATTTAGCGGTTTTGGGTTTAGTTACACTTTAATGTTTGTGCTGCCAGTATATAGGTTGTTTCCTTCAAACATAAAACACACATTTGTTTCCCTTTCCATACCAACAAAAGGGCATATTTAGATCACTACATCAGACGGAATTCAATGATTCCCTGTAACGTCACAAGTCTTGAGCCTTCTGTACAGCGAGTACTGTGAGCGGCGCTCAGCTCTTTAAGAAACATATCTATCCACAAAGAGCGGCCCCCAGCCGGGAGATCACAGCCACTCTCTCCATATACCACTGCCCAACCTCTGGACGTGTTCTAAGCTCTACAGAGAACTATCACTGCCACCCAACATACTCACAGAAGCAGCCATTGCCGCAAACTTCAACTTTCCTTTACAGTTCCAGCACGCTCAGCTTCCCCGTCCGCTTCTCAAATAATTCTCCTAGAAACAAGGTCCCCGAATCTTGGTTCCGCCTGGCTGGAGTTCACACTGTGAACACTAGATGGCGCTGAATCTCTCTTCATATACTAATCAGTCGAAGAGATGTGTCACAAGTAACTCACAACAATATACACACACAGTACACTGCACAGAGCACTCTCTGCACAACACACTATACAAAACAGGCTGTACAAAGCACTTTACACAACACTGCACAAAGCACTATACACAACCTACTGCACACAGCACTATACACAACACATTGTACTAAGCACTTCCCACAACACACTGCATAAAGCACTATACACCTTGCACAAAGCACTATACACAACACATTGCACAAATCACTTCACACAACACACTGAAAAAAGCAATATACACCTTGCACAAAGCACTACACACAACACATTGCACAAAGCACTATACACAACACATTGCACAAAGCACTTCACACAACACACTGCACAAAGCACTTTACACAACACATTGGAGAAAGCACTACACAACACACTGCACAAAGCATTTTACACAACACATTGGAGAAAGCACTACACAACACACTGCACAAAGCATTTTACACAACACACTATACAAAACACACTGTAAAGCACTATACATAATACACTGCACAAAGCGCTGTAAACAACTCACCATTCACAATATACTGCACAAAACACTAAACACCACACTATACACAATGCTCTGGACAGTTGTGGGAACCAAAGTTCTTATTTTACCCTGGACATCTCTCACACCTATATAGTGTGTGTGTGTGTGTGTATATATATATAGATGATTTCCAGACTTTCTTCATAAACAGACACTTCTAGGAATGATAATTTCTTGCCCCCCAACATAAATTTATATTCCTGATTCACTCGGCAGCCAGCCTACTCATCCACTTTCCTTCATTGAGCAGTCCTACATTGTACATGATGAGAGGTCCTGACCAGACAACCCATGAAAAGGAGCGGCTTCATGGAACCAGGTGTGTGGTAGGTAGGAAGCCTGCTGGACTGAGTAATAAGGTAAGTATCATTATTCCTTACCCCAAGACTAAACAAGCATGTGTGTGTGTGTGTGGGTGTTGGCAGGGGGGGGGGGGGGGGTGTATTTTTTTAAATCCTAACTGGAGTTCAGCTTTAAGCTGACCATACATGTGACAATTTGATAGAGCAATTGAACTTTTGAGTCCTTGTGGTCAATCAACTACAACGAGATGTGATTTCAATTGCCCCAATGGAATGCAGTGGAAAAACCGGATCACTTTAGATTAGACTGATGTAGTGTTTTCATGTTTCAATTCCATTTCAATGTGATCTTTCAATAAACTGTAAAACTGTCACTTTTTTATCAAGTTTTAACTTCACAATCAACCTAATTCTGGTGTTCAGTCAAATTGTGGATGGTAGATTGCTTTGCTTTTGCCAGTTAATTGCAGTGATTTTTTTTATTCACAGTGAGTGGAATTTGGTTAAAATTTCCTGAAAATTGCCACATGAATGGCCAGCTATGCTTGCCATGTGACTGCCCCTATACCTTGTAGTGAGTTGCTGTTGCATTATACTGAAGAAAACAAAACTGGATTGAAGTGTTTAGGTATACACTAATCAATAGATGATAGATCAATGTTATTTTCACACATTTCCTATGGTAAAGACATGGGAATAGGCAATAGCATGAAAGACAGTACTTCAGGGTTATCAACAAATGAATGGTCAGTTTATAAAAAATAGGAGCTAATTACATTTTCTATAAAATCTGTTTAACTACCAATAGTTATCAGGTTGGTTCTGGATATGCATATATTTATTCAGTGGTCGTTTCTGAAATAATGAAGAGTTCTCTGTATGTTCTCTGTATGTTCTCTCCACAGTATGATAACAACCTGCTTGAGCAATACTTCCCTCATTGGCAGTGTTAGAATGCTAAACATATCAACACTAAAATGTTGCTACATGCTATAACAGTAAATTAGATATGTGGTCACTGAAGGGTGTTTAATGTTATAGCAATATACACATAACAAATTGCATACATTTGTATATAATTGTTTGGGCAACCTATCTTGGTATAGTATCCGTGATTTGCCTTCCCTAGAAATCAAAACCCAGTTGTACATGTGCGAAGTCTTACAGTTTGTGTTCTTTATGGCCGGGTTCACACCCGGGCGTACTATAGGCGCGTTTTTTCTGCTAGTTTTGCAGCATGTTTTTTGCGCGTTTTTTAGCAAATTTTTTCGTTCAGTGAAACGCGCGTTCGTTTTTATACCTCCCTGGCAGTATTATTTTATTTTTTCCTTTATTTTCTCTATCTTTTTTAGGGGTTTTTTTTAACTTTCAAACTTCCCGCCGGTTCCGCCCCCCTGCGACGCGGATGCTTGCAAGAAACGGAACACAGAATACGGCAGTGGCCGGAGGACATAGCGGGGATCGCGGACAAGGTAAGACCTACGCTGTATTCCCGAGTGTGGCTCGGGGTTACCGCTTTGTTAACCCCGAGCCACACTCGGGAATAACAATGGATACGCGTTGAAATACACCCCAAAGAAGCTCCTGTACTTGTTTGGGTGTAGGGCGTTTTTTAGCGCGTTTCCACGGGCTGAAATACGCCCAGGTGGTAACCATGCCCATAGGAAATTATGGGATTTCACTTGCTGAGCGTTTTTCAGCACTTCGATCAGCGCTGAAAAACGCCCAGGTGTGAACCCAGCCGAAAAAGTAGCCACAAAAACTGTCCCCTGCCAGCATGCTTCAGAGAAGTCAGGCCTATAGGTTGGCAATAAGCAAAGCATACGCTCCCTGTTGATTGGAGAACTCTAGCTTTAAACCCAGCAGGGGGCGTGTCAGACCTCTGCAGAGAGGTCACTGCTTCCACACAGAGAGTAAGGGTCCTTCTATGCAGCATGCTGTCAAAGCTTTTCTACTCAGGCTTTGGCTGCTTTCTAAGAAAACAAACTGTAAACCTTTGCACACCTTTTGTTTTGATAAACCTGGAATGTATTTAGCTGATTTAAACTGCAAGTACATTTGGGCTTTATATAGCTCTACATGTCATTGATATGAAGTTATAAAGTCTACATGTGGTAAATTTATACAGTTTTGTTTGACACGTAAAGTATAATAATAAACTGATGTCAGAAGCTGTGTACTGCTGAAGTAAAGCTATGCAGCTTATCTAACTGCAGGTCATATATAGGTCGTTAGTTAATGCTGATAGGTGCAGATCAGTTTAAAGGATTTAAAGCGTCATTGTAATGTAAGTCTTAATCCATGCCTTTAGTAGACATCTGAATACCGATTTGGAAGGTTTATGACACATGTCAATTATGTGCACCAAATGACATTACATTGCTGTGAATGTATGAGAACCCTGGGAGAGCCTGCAGAAAATGTAAGGGACCATACCACCTCCCTGCACACATTAATGCTGAGAAGTATACCATGGATACCTTGTTTTTAGGAATTATCAAGGTTGATGCACATAGACTGTAATGGTAATACTAAAAGCTTTCAGGACTCAAGGCAATTAAAACACCTGCATATACAAAGGTAAGTGTCTTTGTTTCAGAAATCTTGACAAATCTTGATTGGCTGCAAACATCAACCGGCGATATTATAAAAAAATAAGCTGACAGTTGGGCAAATCTGGTATTTTATTTATACTATTTCAAAGTGCCTGACTTTATTTTTCCAAGTTTGTATTATTACGTCATAACGTACAACTGCATGTGATTAACATTTTGTGAAGTAGAAATTAGCAAAATTGCATGTTATTGAAGCTCAGTCAGTACCTGATTTTTAGCTTGTGCCATTTCTATAAATCTCCACTAGCATTTGTCAAAGTGACCTACAACTGAGTACTACGGTGCATGTTTTTAATTCTCCTCACAGAATCTCTAGTTCGTGTCTTTAAAAATTAGGCTATTAAATGTTTCTACGCTCCTGCCTGGATGCCTTTAGGTTCCTCAAGCTCAACAGACACATTACAATCTGATTGTACAATCTTCATTATATCTACCAACAACTACTGTATGTAGTGCGAGGACATTTTTGATTGAATATTACATAGTTCTGGTAAATCTAAAGAAGTTTTACATAGACTGTACAGTCAGATTGTGATATGTATGATGAACTTTTGAGCTATTGCCAGGAAATCAATAAAAAGCCAGTTTAGGAATTTTTTCCCCAACCTTTTCCTTGAGCACTAAAAGTTACAATTTCTAGCTAGGAACATTCATATAAAAGTAACATTTTAAGATAAGCACATTCTTATTCTTATTATTTTTGAAGGCTTTAGCTTGTTGTATGCTTTCCTTTTAACAGTAGCCTTGGTTTCTCAGACTTTTTCATCAAGGTTGACAGTACACTTCATTGGCTATAAATATTGTCAGATGTGCAGTTGTATTGGATTATTATAGCTTTATCTAAAAGACCTCTACCAGGATTATCTGGAACACATTATAACTATGCATATTGGTGTGTATACACATGTGGAATGCTTACCTGTGTGAATGTTAAAAATGAATGTTAAAAGTAGAGATTTGTGAGTGCAGCATCATTAAAGCCCAAATGAACTTTCAGCTTTAATTAGCTAAATATGTTCCAGTAGCATCAAAACAAAAGATGTGCAAAGTTTTACAGTTTCATTGTTCAAATACCAGCCACAGCTTGAGGAGAAAGGCCTGCCGCCTTCCAGCATGCTCCAGAGAAACAAAAGTAAGAGGCACTGGGATTTCAGTGCTTGTTCAAACCGTTCAAATAAATGAAAGTTTGCAAGTAATCTCACTGGATCTAGGGAGGCAGCTGTCAAACAAATAGGCCTCCCTTGTTTAGTACCTGGAAATGACTGAAAGTATAGAAATGTCAAGCGCCAAACCAAAAGGTGAAAGAGTTCGAAGAAGCCTTTAATTCAATCAAACTAAACAGCCAACACACTTTGGGGACAACAATACTCCCCACCCCCTTATCAGTGTTTAAAATGAGATGAGGAGACTCAAAAGATACTATAACCAAATGGATCTATATATGATTTGGTGTAAATTTTCCTTTATGACTGGAATTGTAATTGTGTACTCAGCAGCAGCAAATGTATTGGCTGTTTTTCTCCAAAATGCATTGGATGTTTTTGTTTGATTGAATTTTGAATAATTGAAGGCATCTTTGGAGTCTTTCACCTTTTGTTTTGGCACCCAACTTTCCTATACTCTGAGTGCCTGCTAGCATGCAGCAGAGAAGGACCTTTGCTCTCTGTGTGGAAACAGTAGCCTCTCTTCAGAGGTCTGATATGTCCTTCATTGAGTCAGACTAATAGCTCATGCTTCCTGCTGATTGGTGAGCTCTAGCTCTGTTGTTATTAACAAGCTACTGATCTGAGCCAAGTTTGCAGAAAGGACTTCTGAAATTACTGATCTGCATACCGACTTAGCCTGGTGACTCAAAGAGTACTAAAACTAGTCGACACAACAGCCAGTCAACTAGCATTTCACGACAAGGGTAGTAATGGCAACCCCTTTATTTGTTACATGATAGGTTAAACCTAAGATGGGGCTGGATTTAAAAGCCAACTTTACACACCAGTACCTGGATCGCCGAATTTTCTGCTCATTCTACATAATGGAAAACCGGTCTGGGTTAATTATATGATTATTGGGCTTTATATTGGATGCAACTTTTTTTGCAAAAGTAGTAATTTCTGAGGGAATATCTTGCCACTGGGGTCTTGAAGAGATGTAAGAAGTCATCATGTGTCAGCAACCACACAAGTTGGGGGAATTATGTATGTTCCTCCCTTATTCATGTTTCTGGGAACTATTTAAAAGTATATGGTTAAGATAACTGACCTTCATGTGTTCATGAAAGTAATAGGAACAGGGACCAATGCAAGCGATTTTATCTATTTTTTTAAAGCACTGCCTAATAAGTTGATGCTATAAATAAAGATAAGAAACAAGGAGGTTATGCTATCCAAAATCTAAAATGCTTGTTTTGGATGGACTAACCTTTTAAATATAATTTTTAACACTTTGAACTATTGGGTAGAAGTATTTGGAATGCTTTTATTAGTCAATTTCTGTGGATCTAGCACTGGTTTCCACAAGATCTGACCCCTCCTTCTCTGTTCTAAAAAAGTTAGCATTCTGAAAAACTATCGATTTCTAATCCAATCAGCTGTTCACTTTTTGCAGTAGAAATGGGCTGTATGGTTAAATAATAAATACCTGGGCAGGATGGAGCATCAAACAGCACTGAACCCAGACTGTAATAGATAGACAAAATTATTACCCAAAACTGGAGTTTGGTGGTCACCAAGTCCTTCTGTAAAAAAAAACTGTACAAAGAGGCTGGCATTACCAAACTCTCTTGCCTAGTATTTTGATCCAAAGGCCTCATACTTCCTGGATCCCTGACTCAGAATATACAGTATATGCAGATCAGGACTACTGACTAGACATGTGCACCAGCAAAAAACTTGTTTAGTTTAGTTTCGTTTTGATTTGGATTTTTGTTATTTCGTTTTTCGGATTCGGGTCCGCAATTGAATTCATTGCGGGATTCGGACGAAATTCGTTAGCGGTAGTCGTTTTTCGGATTTGGGTCCGCAATTGAATTCGGATGATGAAATTCGTTTAGTTGGACGAAATTTAGTTAGCAGCAAAGTGACATTAGGAAAAAAAAATGTTTTTTTTTTACAGTCTGCAGAAGATGAAAAAAAAAAAGCGTGAGGTTCCCCCCCAATTCATACCAGACCCTTTAGGTCTGGTAGGAATGTTACGAGGGACCCTCCCCCAAGTTAAAACAAAAAAAAAAGTGCGTGGGGTTCCCCCCAAAATCCCTACCAGACCCTTGATCCCAGCACTGGCCCGGCAAGGCAGGAAAGGGGGGGGGCGATCGAGCGCCCCCTTCCTGCGCCTTACCAGGCCATGTGCCCTCGGCATTGGTAGGGTGTCCCCGTGCCGATGCGGACAAGGGCCTCTTCCTCACAACCCTGACCTGGTGGTTGTGGGGGTCTGCGGGCAAGGGGGCTTATTTGCATCGGGGTACCCCTTTAAATAAGGGGGCACCCAGATGCCGCCCTCCACCCTTGTGAATGAGTAAGGGGTACTTGCACCCCTACCCATTCACTAAAGGGTTAAATCAAATAGTTAATAAAAAGGCCAGACTTTTAGATCAAATCATTTAATTGAAAAAAAAAAACACTCAATTTTTTACTATTCCTTTAATTAAAAAAATAAAATAAAAATGGCTCCATCGATGTAATCCAGCATCAATCACGATGCACGACCCCCGCCAACCCGCCGCAATAAAAAAAGTCCCCCCGCCCGACGACCACCCGAACCCGACGAAAACTCGCTGCAAAATGACATTCAGCCCGAATGTCAACAGATGGGCGGAGCGAGCTGTGACGTCATGGCTTGCTCCGCCCATTTTACACTCTTAGCTG